CTTGGCACAGCACTCCTGGCATAAGTCGCTGAGGCTGAAGCCCTCCACCATGGAGACACTCCTTTGTCTCAATCTGGTCTCTGACAAATACACATAACATTTCACTCACTTACCAATACACTCCTTTTTTTTTACTTTTCTCCATTTCGTAAATTACCACATAAAATTGTCATGGAAAAGTTTCTTTTTTCTTTTCTCTCTTTTTCATGTACCCTTTCCCTCTTTCTCTTTGTGTGCACTGACAAGCAATGCAAGGGGGGAGAGTGTCAGGTCACGGTCCATGTGTTGGAAATCGGGAATCGCCGTTGCAACGCATTACAACGATTTCTGAGGCTGTATCCATTACAATGCTTGTAACATTTGCTCAAATGTTGCAACATTTCCCAAGTGTTACAACGTTTCCCAGGTGTTATAATGTTTCCAGTGCATTCTAACACATTGCAACATGCATCAACTGTGTAGTGTCAACAAAAAGAGAGGACTCTTTGCACACAACATCCCACACTTTATCAGGCAACATCCTCAATCTTTAGGCAACCTCCTGGAATGGATATCATTATCATTTATTAAATAATAATAATTGTTATGGGTGAGACTTGAACTGAAGAGCACCATGACTATCATAGTAAGTACAATATTCATAACTGTTACACTATTATGCATTCTCGGCTTCACTGAAATGTTGACATAATGATAAAGTAGAGATAATCACAGGTCTTTTTAACATTACTGTAATGAGGCCAAGGCAAGCAAGCCACAATAACATGCTGGTATGCACGGTGGGAAGCAAATTACAGTAAAACAAATATTGGGAAACCCAGGTGAAAATCACTGTGGGAGACCTTGGCATTATGCCTGGGGTCACAGGTAAAATACTCAGAATGTGTGTGCTGTTTAAAACTCTTCCTTAGTTTGAAACCATTGCATTTGATGTGGTAGGAACATATTTTATTTACTTATGCCAATACCGGTGCAAACAGGATGACATGGTGCACTGTTGTGATTCCTGGAAAAGCAGCCAATGTCAAAAACCCGGATCATAGGGGAAAATGCATGAGTCCGAATGCAGGCGGGGCTCAACTAGAGGGGGTCCGGGAGCTCCGGTAGTGAACCAAAGCTTCTCCAGGAAGCCCGGTTCTGCTGGGTGGTACAAGAGGCTCTAAGAAGGATGCAGCCTCAGCGACTCAGAGGGAGCGCTGTGCCTCCGTTACGTCTCAGTTAGTCCTTGTATTTCATGTGTCTGAGGTATCTTGTAGAAAGGGGTTGGGATTCACTCAGAGGGACTTGGGGTAACATTTAGTCGAGATTAGAACTGGGAAACTACAGGTTCTAATCTACAGGTATTTATATGGAGGAATGGAAAGGACTTTAGTCAAAGTCCGAATGATAATAGAAAACACCGAAAGGTGCCAAATGATACCAAGAGGTACTGAAAGGTCCCGAACGATATCCTTAATGGGGAACTGAGGTGTCGGGTCAAGGAGGGTGGAGTAAGAGGCTGGAGGATGAATGGGAATGAGAAATGGGTAAGAGGGGGTTAGCCAACTGAATGGAAAGAAGAAGATAGCTGTGCTATGAATGGAAGGTGACTAATAAGTGATGACATGAGTGGGGTCACTGAAGGATGCAGGTAGCTCTGAAGGCGGAGTTATGTATCCGAAGGATGTTGGGTGACTCCAATAAATGAAATGGGTGGGGAATGGTTTAGGGGTATGTCACGGGATGTCAGAGATCCGTTGGGGGATCAGAGCAAATCTGGAGTCTCTGAATGTTCTGACTCGGGACCGAACTTCTGGGATGGGAGTGGCCAAGGTTCAGTGTGCCGCAACCAGGCCGGAGCTGAGACAGTTAGGAAGGAAGGTGACTTGGGGAGTGGGGAGTTATGGTGTAGGGGATGGTGAAGTTGTTAGGAAGGTGTGGTGTGGTGGGAGAGCACAGGGTCGGGATTCCGGGATATGACAGCCAACATGTGAACAGAGGGAGTGCTTGTATGATAAGAACTTAAGCATGAGATGAGCATTGACAAGACTGTGGTATTGGATAACTCGGAGAACATAAGCGGGGAATCAGAACTTCTCTAAGTCCAATTTCCCATGCTCAACTTTGGTTCCAGATTGTGCATGCTTCTCAACATGCTATGCTATGCCTACCCCTCACCCTCATGGCCAGTTGGGTATGAATCTCCTGTATCCTATCATCTACTCAAGCACTGGGCATCAAATTGTCGATCTTAGTGCCACTTGCACTGCCAATTCAAATATGGGGCCATTTAGCAATGTTGGGTTATTATTGAGTGCAGTACAGATAAAGGCAGACCAGTATTTAGTGATTGAAGTGTGTATATTACATTCAACCTTGATGATGCTTTCTTCCAACCAAACAGAACCATGGTTGCCCCAAGTAAAACACTGATGGCACGGAATCCGAGTTCGATGACCCAGGTATTTTTCTAACCGGGTTTTTTCCACAGAGAAAAATCACATAGGTCCCACTGTGTAACACCCCATAATGCCTTGTCACATCCAGCAACATTCCGTAATGTGCAGCAAAATTCCCATAATGCCTTGTAACATGGAGCAAAATCCCATAACACCTTGTAACACACAGCAAAATCCCATAACGCAATTGTCAGGGCACACCCTACCTGACCCCGCGCTGCGCCGCCCTACTCCGCTCCCCCACTATCACTCCCTGTTTCTTCTTTCCCCTTTCCTTCTTTCTTTCTATTTCCGTTCCATGGTCGACTTCCCCTTCTCTATGTATTACTACACACTTAACCCCACTCCCTCGATCGCCATGCCCACCGCGCACATTCCCGCTCACAGAGCGGCACACCTCCGGGATCTCCCATGGAGATACCCAGGGGAGTGCGGCTGTGTGCGGGGATGACGTGGCTCCTCCCACGTGACCCCAGCCGCATGTATATAATAGCACCTGGGGTGGGAACAGAAGAAGCAGCCTTCTTCTCAACTTCCCACTTCAGACTAAGTGGTCAGGGATGCTCACCCCACAACGGGACCGCCACTACGCATAGCCGACATCTGTCCCATCGAGTCCCTCGTGCCAGGACCTCACCGCTTTCGGAGCTGTCCCTGACAGCAATACAACGAAATCCCCAGTTTTCCGACCTGTATGTAGGGGTCACGTGACCCAGGGAGGTCACTATCATCCTACCCACTGTGAATCATACATCTTTGATACTCACAGCTGGGTTCTAGGACACCCACCTTACAATACTGCACCAGCCCCCAATCGGGCTTATATTGAGATACCCCTGCCACCCAGGATTCTGAAATGGCCACTGACGCTGCAAGTGGGGAGCAAGGCAAGACCACAGTCAAGGGCTCACCTCTCTCCAGCTGCTCCCTCACCAAAGGGAAAGTGTTGGAATTTCAACAACCAGTTCCAGCGCCCGAGTAGTGCAGGATTTGATATTCTTTTTTTGGGGTCGCTACAAACACCGAGGCATGATCAATAACTCACCGCTGATGGCGGAATGAGTTTTGAGGGTCTTGTCTCGCTCTCTCTGTTTGCTCTCTGTGCGCTCTTTATGCGGTGAGACATGTCAGAGACGTGGTGTCAGGGCACGCCCCGCCCGACCCTGCTCCACACCGCCTCTCCCTCGTCCTTTCTCCTTTCCTCCTTTCTCCCTTTCCTTCTTTCTCTCTCTCTCACATGGACCACCTTTCCCGCTCTTCAATGTATCACCGGCGTGCATGCCTATTTCCCCTCCTGTACCTTACCACCCCTACATCACTGCCACCGCTGCCGCCGCACTCGCCCTGCATCCACAGCGAGCCCTCTCGGGATCTCCCGCGGAGACACCCGGAGAGCCGTGGCTGTGTGCAGGGGTGACGTGGTGCCCCCCATGTGACTGATCCCGCATGTAATACCAGCTGGAGTGGGAACCGAAGAAGTAGCCTTCTTCTCATATTCCCACTTCAGACTAAGTGGTCGGGGACGCTCACCCCGCGACGGGATCGCCGCTACGCACAGCCGCTATTCCTCTCACCGAGTCCCACGCGCAGGGACCTCGCCGCTTTCGGAGCTGTCCCTGACACGTGGCTCACGTATAAAGAGCGCTCTCTCTGTAGATCCTCTCCCTCAGAACTCTTGTACGAGTCTGAGGTGAGAGCTATAGTTTTTATTATTAACGACACTTTTCTAACTATGTACATGTTGACGCAGAATCTTACATGTCATAGGTATGATTCAATTCTAGAACTCTTGTACGAGTCTGAGAATCTTACGTGTCATAGCCTTTTTATCTTTAAAAGAAAGAAGAAGGGGGTGGAAAGGGCACCTAGGGTTTTGGACTCACTGTGACCCCAGTCCTGACTAACTCAGCCTAAAAATCTCAACACTAGGTGGACCTCCCTGGAAGACAAGCTAGCAGTACTGTCTGCAAAGCACTGTCCCCAAGACTTCAAATACTCAGACACCACCCCAGGCACATGGACCTAGTACTTAGCAGAGCAGAGGGGAGAATCTCTGTATCATACTAGATACATTTTGTATATAAACCATGGTCATCCGAACTAAAGTCCGAGCAATCCAATTGTGTTAGGGATGGACAGAAACGGATGGAACAACACAGAACAAAGAAAACAACAGAAAACATAAAAAATACATAGGAACAGCATCGATAAATTCCGACGATCTCCACAACGGCTGCACCAAATCTCCCGATCTTGGACTCATCCTACTCGTCTTGATGGTAGCTTTCCAGCGATACCAAGTTCATCCGGATCGGAGGAGAACTGGGAGAGTTATGGTGAAAATACTGTGAAAGCAGTCCGGTAACATGTCCAGGTGGGCTGTAACCTGGTCTGAAAAATTATCAAAAAAAAAAAACAATGATGATAGGGGAGGTTCAACAAGCTTTGGGGGACTGGGGTATGTGTGTCAGGCGCTAGGTAACGTCTGTAGGCCATGATATAGCAGTGTTGGGGTACTACCGGCTTTTCCCTCCTTCAATCCCACAGGAAGACAAGCCGATGATGGATGGAGAGTTCACCCCTAGAGAAAAAGGGAAACAAAGAGCCGCTCCCTCCACATCCTGTCCCCCTGCACCACATAGTGTGCCTAAGTCCAATACCACATGTAATAAAGTCACCGATGAGGAACCTAAGACACCAGATTCCCCAAAGACCCCAGCATATAAGCAGAGGGCCCTGCCAGCCTACAAGTTCGCCTTTGAGTTACAGGAGAGGTTGAACTGTGAGGAAGTTTTTGAGAAATTATTGTCTCAAGAAATTTCCCTGCCATTAGGATCAATCTTAGGATCATCTTTTGAGCTTAATAAGCATCTCCAAATGGCCATGAAAGTTCAAAGGATTCCGATTGCCAAGAAAGCAGAGACAGTTGTTCTGGACCTTGAGCCATCAAAGCCCTTGCCAGTTGAGGAAGAAGAGCCATACTTTAGACCTGTCTTTGATGTCTCAAGTCTTGACTCTGAATACTCAGATGATTGTGACAGCTGTCAGAGACCAGGTTGAGATGAGGGAATGTCTCCATGGCAGAGGGCTTCAGCCTCAGCGACTTATGCCAGGAGCGCTGTGCCAAGTAACATGTCCATGCCCTAACTTACTAAACTGGCAACCAGAACTGAAGGGGGGTAAACTCTAGTCGATTTTATTACTGAGGTGTAACCTATGTACAAGTTGAGTATATATATAGTTACAACAAGGGCAGGCCCGCAAATGGCAGAGCCGAGCGGAGCGGAGCTAACAGGGTTAGACATTAGCCGATTGAATATTACTGACAGGTTGGGTTACAGGGTTAACAGAATGGTAGGCGATAACCCAGAAACGGAAAGGAGGGATAGGCCCGAAGGTGGGCTTGCAGGGTGAGCGAATGTATTGCCCAGCAGAGGTGGGAGTGCACTAGTGGATGTCGGAGCTGTCCAGAAGCCTTCAGGGCTCCATACTTAGGGAGGCATAGGTAATAAATTGAAAGGAGGGGGTGGTGACCATCGAGGGGTACTGAGGTGATTGCGGAATGTGAGAGCTCCGAGGTTAGTGAAGAAGGAGTGGAGGTAGACCGGAGGGATCGGAGGGAGTGGAAGTCGATGGCTGGGGATGGATATGACAACAGCAGAGAGTCCGTTAATATGGATGAACAGGCAGAAGATTTCTACCACCAACTGCTGGAAGCAGAGCACCTGCAAGAATGCGGCCTCACCAGCCATGAGATTTATTCTTCAGCCAAGCAGCCTTCATATCTAGCTATGGTGATGGCCAAAATTCAGGGCCATGTCTTTAACCAACCCTGCACCATGTTGATAGATACAGGAAGTGAGCTCAATATCATGACTAGTGAGCAAGCCTATGCACTTCAGCTGCCTGTTGATCTGATGGGAGCGATGTGGTCCCTTAGAGGCATCTCAGGACACCAGGTTGCCCTAGAGGGGCTCTGTAGAAATGTGCCCATAACTCTAGGTGGTGTAGAAGTGCCCCACAATTTCTTCCTATCTAAGGAAGGCCTAAATGGAAAAGACATAATCCTAGGCCAACCATGGCTGTATGGACATAGCTCGCGGATAGAATACATGCCAGATGTCAGAATGATGATACAGATTTGGACAGAGGGAGATCGCGACAGCTGGACCTCCGTATGGATCAAATTACCAATTATGAATGCACAGAGAAATGTTTTTCCAATTTCTACACACCGACAGGCAGAAGCTGCCCCCATCACTCTAGATGTTAATACAGTCAAGCCTGGAATCATTACAGGTGAGAAGGAAATTTCTAAGTTCCTTAGTTGTATTACCACAGCACTCCTGGCACCAGAGCCAGAGTTCAAAAAGCTAAGGCCTGACAGCCTAGAGTATGCCCTCATCTCACAGGAGATGAAGGACCTGATTATATTAAAAGCCATAAGGGATTCATGGTTCATCTCTAAATCCCTGAATGAGGCTAGTTTAAGTAACCGAATTGAAGCAATCAGCCTTGCCAAGGGACTCCAAGTCACCATGGCAAGAGACTTGTCTAAGCATTTTACAAGAGAACTATCAGGCGCCCATTACAAACCCATTAGCAAAAAAATTCTCCTAGTTTCAGCTTATGACCCAGAGGCGATTGTGCCTGCATACACACCACTTGAGATAGGCATACTCTTGCCATTGCCTATGCACCCACCAGAATTTGCACAGAATATGTACATCCACCTCCAGACTCACAAAAGAAAGGGTAGCAGCCATAGTGGCATGCATAACCCCCAACTTTCTTATGAAAGCTGAAGTGGACCTTTTAGTCCACATTCTCTTTAAGTATGAGAAGGCTATAGCATTCACAGAAATGGGGCACCTTCAATCGCAGGAATTATCCTGATTATATTATGCATACAATACCACACAAACCTTGGCAAGTTAAGCCCTTGAGATTGCCTCAGGCTCATACCGAAGAAATTATGTACCTGATGAAAGAACAAATGGATGTGGGGAAATATGAACCATCTGAATTGTCCTATAGGGTGAGGTTCTTCACTGTTGAAAAGAAAGATAAATCCTTATGGATAGTACATGATCTTCAACTGCTTAACGCTGGCTCTATCCATGATCCAGCACATTACCTAGAATTGACAAGATGTTGGATTCATTTGCCAGAGCTGTTAGAACGGGGCTGATACAGACGACTCCGGAGTGGAATCGGAGACTTAGCGTGGAGGGACCTTGGCCTCAGCGACTCAAGCGGAGCGCTGTGCCATTGCTGTTTGTCCATTTGGTCCTTAATTTCACAGTAGGTGAGCAGGAAGTCTCTAGGGGGCATTTCAGGTCGATTTCAGACTGAACCAAAACGAGTATGTACAAGCGCCGATATATATAATGGAAGGGGCAAAAGCACAAGGAAACAAAGGGGAACCGAATCGGAACAAAGACGTCTGAATGGGAACAAAGGGTAGAGGAAACGGAGTGGTACCGAAGGTCATAAGGCAGGACCTGTGATACGTCCGAAAGGAGGTAGGGAGGGCAAGGCCCAGAGGGGCAGGAGGATGAGGAGAAGTGGGAATGATGACTAACTGGCTAGAATGGTAAGAAGCAGTAGTCCAAATAGGGATGAGGGGTAAACGCGAGAGATACATTACAGGCAGCAAAAGTGCCGACGGCGATCCGCGAAGCTCGGAGGTTGCGGAGCTTACGGAGGTTACGGAGGCGGGGTTGAAAGTCCGAGGGATATTGGCAATGGTGTTTATGTAGTATGAGGTCACCAATGCAATGGACTAAGACCGAGGTGGGGTCAAAGTCTGAGGTCGGGACTATGATGGAGGCTCGTGTTAGAACCAGTGGACTCGGACGACTCCAGAATGGAATCGGAGACTTAGCGTGGAAGGACCTCGGCCTCAGCGACTCAGGTGGAGCGCTGTGCCATTGCTGGTTGTCCTAGGGGTCCCTAATTTCGGATCTAGCAGAGGGAGTGTTACGGATATGGAGTCTCCAACGACCATATCCGTCGCATGGTCAAAGACTTCCCCTCTCTATCGCTCCTCCCCTCTTTCTCCTTTCCGTCCTCTATCCCGCTACCCTATCCTCCTTACCCGTTCTACCCCTTTCCCCCCCCTCGTGCAAAGCTTTCCCCATTGGGGTTTTGGTGCTGGCCGAGGTTGTTTGTGTTTCGCGGGATTTCCCGCGACCTTACCATTTGTAGATAGTCACGCGTCATGTACGGAAACCGCCGAAGGCGGTTCCCGCTAACTAACAACTGCACTACAACTGCTTCGTGTACCGTCTTCTGTAACAACCCTCCCTGTGACTCAACTGAACTCGTGTGACTGTACAACTCTCAATATGTCTTATAAGTCTGGGTATATCGAGTCCTCTAACGGCCCTCGCCGCGAGAACTCGAGGTCGAGAGTCGAAGACTCTCGACATGTGTATCGTCCTATTGAATCTGTACCCTATGGTTCTTCATCACTATGCTCTCCCCCCAGTACTCAACATACGACATCCCATCACGATCATAGTGATCGCGAACTCTATGAGGCCCCCTCACCCGCGATGCCGGCACGTTCGCTACGCGAACGCCAAGTAGCCGCCCATCTGCCGTCTGTTACTTCCTTTGCCAGTCAACATGTGTCCCCGCCAACGGTACGTTCCCCTTGGGAACGCCAAGTCACCGAAGGCCCTAATAGTCAGTCCTCATTGCACGCCTATGATATCAACCCGCCACCGGTACGTTCGCACTGCGAACGCCAAGTACCCGATGGCAACTACACGAGGTTCTCGTCCATCCCGCAAGTCGTAACCTCGCACACGGTACGCTCCATTGAGGAGCGCCAAGTACCCGTGGCTGGCCCATCTGTCCTGGTATCTCCGACTACATATCATCAACCCCTTAATAGCTCACTACATCACCCATCACGATCGATGGGAATTCGATCGTCCACTCCCGGGCAAGACTCATCGATTACACTTCCAGTTATGGTACAAACTATACATGACCCTTGTCATCCCACTATAAGAACGGATCGAGGAATGGGGAATTTCCCCCATCCCCGTAACATTGGTGCCCCAACCCCGGTGCGAGAAACTCGCACCATGCCACCCAAGACGGTGTCCCTGTTGGGAGACGAACCAGTCACCCCGGCCCAAATGACGCACGATTTGTATCCTCCTTCCCGCCCCACGAGGATCAGTCAGTCAGATCGTAGATCCAATTCAAGAGATACCTCGCCAGTAGGCGAAGACGTGCATTCCTCGCCTGGCGCATTCCTACAACAACAAGCTCTCAGGCAAGTCATCGAAGCTCTTGGAGAGTTTGAAGGTGGAATTTTTGAGGATTCAAATAACTACATGAAACGTATACGAAATTGGCATCGTCTCGCTCCCGCTGATCTCGAGAAAGAGTCTGTTGGAGCCGGTCTCGAAGGAGAGCCTTTGAGATATCGACTGGGGACCGTCTGGCGGGTCGAGCTAACCGACCTGCTCATGAAAATTACCGAGTTCACCCAGCTAGCCGCCAAGGCCAACTTAGCCGCAGGTGATTTCGTAGTGGATCCCCGAGGCGACCTAGCCCTGATATTCACTATAAGAGGATGGTCGTCACCAAAGGAGTTCAGTATTGCATGGAACTTCCTAGACCAGCGTTTCAATTCCTTCGAAAAACATTTCGATGCCATCAAGAAAGCTGCTCGTCCTTCACGGGAATTTGACGAGTTGCGCATGAGTGGACTCAGGTTGGCGAATGTCTCGCCCGCCAAGTTTACGGATCCTGGGCAAGTTGAGGAGGCGTGGTCGACCGAAATGCGACCCACACGTCAGCCGGAAGCCCTCCCGTCGGGATGGACTACTTTTGAAGATCTCATATCTCCCGCGGAAGAGACCACTTTCGTTCGTAAACGCACCCTACCGTCCAGGGCCTTCCCGGTGCCTAGACCAAGCATTAATGTCGCTGCAGGGATGTTACTCAGAGACGAACCCTCGATGCCATTCGTCACAGTTCGTCGAGATACCAACGCTTTCGAGAACCCCAAGGAGAACGTGGGTTACACGGAATTC